TGATACTGAAGAGGTTTTGCAACCTGCCATGTTCACAACTTCCAGCTCTAGCCTGTGAATCTCTGAAAGTACCTCATTTAAAATGTAAGTACATGTAGAAAGATGTTTAGCTACATTTAATAATTGGTGCATCCTGCAAAAAACGTTCCTTTAAAGATTCTGAGGTTGGAACACAATTATTCTCTTCATTCATCTCACTCACTGTTTGTTCGGTTTTTCCTATATTGAATGGGATTATTCACTGCTCCCCACACAGTTGACTTTGGCACCTCTACCAAAATAACGTTTCAATTGCAGCATCAGTTTTACGACAGTCACGATTTCTCGAACATTCGAAATACATTTTTTTCTGTTTATTTGGGTGGATAACTTTGAAATTTATTTCCTTTAAAGCGATAAAATAATGAAATAATTGATGTCTAGGTCGCTAAAAGTGAGTTTTACGGCAATAAAACTTATTTAATTTGAGATGCATTCGGATAAGAATATTTCAGGCTTTATTAGCAACACAAAATAAAATATAAAAAATAATTCGAAGTTAATTCAATCAAGATTGTGTTCAACATCGATAATAACTCCTATGGCTTGATGTAATTAATGCCTTTCAAGTCTGAAATCAGAATGAATAAAAAAAAAATTGGTGTAAAAAAGCGTGGGGTGCCAATCTGGCAAACAGCTCCTAACCAAGTAATTATAACAACAGATATTTAGCACCTCTCGCTTTTTTACAACAAAATTTTTATAAATAGTTTTATTCTGATTTTAGACTTATAAATTGAAAGTCATTACTTGTGATGCATTGTTTGGAACCTTCAGTATAGTAATGAATATTACTGGAGTTTTTTCCAACACCAAACCGTTATTTTAACACCTCGACACGTGTTTTGATCACCAAGTGGTCATCTTCATGAGGAAGATCTGTTTGATCTTCCGATTGAATATGGGAAAAACTCCTGTACTATTGAAAGTCATTAATTATATCAAGCCATAGGACTTATTATAGATGTTGAACACAATCTTGATTTAGTTTCGAATTATTTTTTATTTTTTAGTTTGTGTTACTATTAGAGCTTGTTCACTGACTCATTGATTCATCATGCTGATTATTCTCAATCAAAAAATGAAAATTAATGTATGAAATTTTATGATATTACTTCCGATAAACCCAACTGACAATCCTGCATAATTTGAACTAGTTGTCACTTGTCTGAAAATTGAAATTTTCAGTTTGTAATAATTTGTGAGCATGCACAAACCAACATCATATGTAAAAATCATTACAATTCGTTCAGTACATATTGTTTGCAAGTGGTCTAACAATAATTTACCTCAACCCCTGTCCAGTATCTGCCTGCTGGTTTTATCATGCAGGTTGGAACTATCAATTCGGTTAATATGTGAAACTATAATACAGGGACTTTGCAACTATTAGGACCAATTTTCTAGGTAAAACATTATTTTCGTGAAAATTCGCCATTTCTTCTATTTTATATAGTTCCACTATATACATAGTACATCTGCCTTGGGACACCTATGAGGTAAAAACCTAGAGCTGGTACACATAAAAAGAATTAAATTCAACCAGCACTTCAGTAGAAAATAAATGTCTGTCGGATATAATTCAATATCCAGCGTGGTATTAGCCGGGGAAGTAGTTGTTTTCCGACAGACGTTTACCAGAACCAACTGTGTAAGTAGATGGGAGATATTAATATTTCGAAATATTCATTTCCTTATATGTATGTGTATCTCCTCGATAGTTTTCACTTTTGAAAATGAAATTGTTGATAAACCATAGATATATTTACAATAATGAGAATATACTTTCAAAATACAAGTTTGAGTGTAACATGAATTACAAGATAACTGGAAGTTTTTTTTAGAACTTCATAAATGTCTAGCCATTCTAAAACCGCCAGAAAAAAAGAGGAAAGTTCTATATTAAATGGAACACTATTATAAACACGTTACGATTTGGTGAAAAGTTGATTAAAAACTGCGTTGAGACATTTGACCAATGGATATACCTATTCCACCTACTAAATTTGATATTTATTCCCCCATAATTTAAAGAAAATACCTTACTAAATGTTATATCGTCAGAAGATTACGCGCATAATTATATAATGATGTTAATTATCTTATACAGGTCATTATTAATAATTCTCTCTAAGAGCGGTTCCGAAAATTTCAACACATCAAATTCAACTATAAATAGCGATGCTCTTGGTCTTGAATCAGCTCTGGGCACACCTTACTCTTAAGAAATGTGATGCCTTAGGGTATGTTTTAATGGATATAATGCTCAAGAGGAATATATTGATGGTGCTATTGACCCAACGTGAAATTAAAAGTCAGAAATTGGACATGAAGTTACGTCGTTCGGAATTCGTGTCTTGTTAATGAAAAAACAAAAAATATTAAGAATAATTTTGTTTTTTAAGTTGACTTTCAATCACTACATCGACAATAATTAGATTAATAGTCCAGTTCACAAGTTGAAATTCGTGTTCAATAAATAGACGAAAATTAAGTTTGTGAAGATAAAATCGTAGGGTGTAGTTTTTGCAATTACTATGGATCTTCATCAAGTAAAGTCCGAATCAATCAGAAAAAGAAACAGAGCACCTAAAAACATATGAGATGGCGTAATGAATACAAAATGAAGTATAGGAAAATGTATTTTAATGATTTTACAGTACACAAAAAATTGCAACTGTATTGAAAATAAAACAATAAAAAAAGTTTTTCACAAATTTTAGAGATACATTGATGGACCTTCAGGATAATTCATCTTGAAAATAAGACAAAATAAGACCAAGTCTGTAGCTATTGTTGATTAGCTGTTATAGCAACTTGTTTATGAAAAATAAATTTTTGAAGTTTTCGTATTTATATGGCTTGTTGAATATTGCAAACACAGTAATGGACTTCAAGACAACTGTGAAGTTGGGGTATCTGGCAAACTATCTTCCAATCACTTCAATCAACATTTATCTTACTCACTTAAATGACTAAAATCATCTCCTGATGATAATAACTTGGTTAGCAAAAAGCAGTGATAGAGTTCTAATGTGGATGAAGTGTTTTCAAAATTCATTTTATGCCAGACGTTGCAAATCCACCTATCAAATTATTTATTTAGGCTAATGTTAACAAACTTATCTTAGTAATATAGGTATGTGGCTTATGATGCATTAAATGAAATCATTAAAACTGTTAAAAGGAAATTCAAAATAAGGGATACTTTCTCTGGTGTCAATGTTGTGAACTAGAGGCAAGTACATTGCCTTGGTAGTCATCAATGAGTATGTATTTTTGTAGCTGTTATAATATTAATTCAACTGAATTGGTGAAGGTTTTTTGGATATAGCTTTCTCTGCATTCAAATATTAGCGATTCAGACCATCAGTTTCCCTCAATGTAAGCAAAAAAATCTTGATGCAGTGACGAATTTCATTATTTTCCACGAAAAACTCAGGTTGAAGTTGTGATGGAAACTATTTCAGGATTAAAAAAGTATGCAGATGAACACCAGAATCCTAAATGAATACGTTGAAAATTAGGAAAATTGTCTCCACTATTTCAGCCATATTATATGGTTGAAACACCTTCAACAAATAGGTTTGACTTCAGACAAATCTGTATTACTCAACTTACTCACCTGAAACTCCATTAATTGCCAACAAAAATAGTAATTTTGGTATATTAAGACTAAACTCGGGAAGAGACAGAAATCATAAGCAAGTACAAAAGTATTAATACAAATTAATAGAACAACAACAAAAAATAATAGAACACCAACAACCAAATTTCAGATATTCAAAATGCTTTCAAAAAATCGATAAGAGTTCGACCATAACAAATCAATGAGAGCGTTCATGGAAACTTGACCAAGACTAAGAACTATGCCTACAAATTTGACCAATATTCAACTAATAAGAAAAAGCTTAGGCCAAAACGAAAACATGTGTGAAATTGAAATTTTTACAGCTTTCATTGACCCAAGAAATTTCAAAACAATTATTTTAAATTTGCATCTATTGTAATAAGAGAGTTTTTAGTTTATATCAATATAAACTAAATGAAGATTAATTGTGGTTATGTCAACATGTGCATAAACGAGACTTGTAGTGTAGTCTTAGTTTCTAGTTATTGATTTTATTTCTTAGGTATTGTTGCATAAACCCACTAATAATTCGAAGAAAATATTCACTCAACTGGATTGATATGTTGGTAAACATATAGAAGAAGCATTTCCACAAAATACAAACCATTTCTGTAATATCCTGAAATACCAACAAAATAGTTGAACTATTTCAAAACAGATGCTTAAAAAACACTGGTTTGCAGTTGTTATTGAAGTTATAACCTAGATTCAAACCCCTTGTATAGGAACAAATTCAATGTAGATATTTGTGTTTTGCATTTTTGCCTGTGGAAGCTACTTAGTAAACTACAATTTATGCACACTTGATTAGCAAGTAACAAGTTTCAACTATCAATTAGCAAGGAGCAAGTAACAAAAACGATGTCAGTTATGCACTCGGTCACAATAAGATAGTAGCCAAGAACTCAAAATTATACTGGAAAAAAAGAATTCTGTAATATCAACTATTGTATATCCTTTACTGTATTTTTCAGCACAGCTTTATGAATTTCCCTTCTTCGGCTACTATAAAAACAAATGATTTAGAAACTAAACGGAACACAGCATATAAAGTTCTGAAATTTGAAAATTATTAGGTTAGGTTATCCCTCATTTCTACTGTCTGTGTTCTAAACTTGGCCAATTAGCGATCATTAGCGCGCTAAATTGTCTATTAGTAAAAGATTTGGAACAATTCAAGTAAGAAAGTTGAAAGTCGGTCAACTTTCCATTTGTATTGAGATATTTTTTTATTTATGTGCCCCTTCCCTAGTGGTACTCCTCCATTAGAGGCAATGACTAAAATATCACTGTGGGAGGCCAGGATTTATGGTAAAAAAAAAACACTTACCTTCCACCTTTCAGCACATTTCTTCGAAAACTCGGCAAAGACGACATTTTCTTCAGGATGTTTTTTCTTATGCTCTTCTCTGCATGTCTGAACAAAGAATGCATAAGCAGTCATACGGCCTCTGGGCCTGGCGTCAGCTTTTGCACGCGGCATTCTTCCTTTATGAGGTAGTGGAGCTGGAGAACTTATTTGTTGGTGCTGTTGCAAAACCTGCAAGCAAATTAGGACACTTCTACATTTAAGAACAGTGCGCCTTTACTATTAAATGAAGTCACTCACAAAATGGGCCAAAAAACAGATTAACAAACAATAATTCACAACTTTCCCACAGATATTGAATAAAAATTGGAGGGAAAATATCAGCTTCACCTTGAGTTGAAACAAAAGTGCGACGTTGCCGCTTGCCACAAGCATGATACGATTCAAACTATTGTCGCAAGGTGACGCTGCCAAACTAAGGGTTACCGGAAATATTTTCTTTATATTATTTTCTTCAATGTGCAAAAATCAATATGAATGCTGAGCTATTTCAAATGGATCATAAATTTTGGATTTTGTACATGTTCAATGCAAAATTATTTAACTTTCATACACAACCTGAAAAAAATCATTCTTTCGAAGTTTCCCACATTTTTGTGAGAAAAGTAGTTTCAGACAGCTAGGTTCTATTTTTTTTTCAAATACTGATATAAACTATTACATATTCAATAAATTGGCAATAAATTACTCATTTTTCAAGGAAATTCTGAATCGTTTTCTATCGATCTCAGAGATGGCGTTTTTGTAAAGAAAGATTTCCATGTGGATTGAACAGTGCATTTTTATAGAATTATGGTGTACTGTGACAGAAATGCTATAACTCAGCAATTGGCAACACTAACTTTTTGGCGTCAGCGGCCAGAATCATCAGACCACTACCTCATTTAAAAATATTCAAGATCCACCTGACTTTGCAGTACATACATGAAAAAGATTTTGAGAACTAAATTTTCCAAAAAATGGCTTTCATAAAGCCAATATTAGTTGTCAATATTATTATGCTATAATACGAAAAAAAGTCCTGACGAGGAAGTATTTTTGAAATAATTCATTTTGCTAGAAAAGTTACCACCCTGTCATATTAGCAAGCAGAAAAAAAAATTGATACCAAATTCATTACAAAAATCAAGTCAAACCTGTTGATGCTGCTGATGATTATTGTGCAACTGATTATTATGAAGTTGGTTGTGCTGTAACTGCTGCTGGAGTTGGTGTGTTTGTTGCTGCAGCTGTTGCTGTCTCGCCTGGGCTTCAGCTATAGCCTGATGGTGTTGCTGGATGGCCTCCTGATGATGCCTCTGGGCCTCCTGGTGTTGTCTTTGGGCCTCCTGCTGTTGCCTCTGAACTTCCTGGTGCCTCTGAGCCTCTTGATGCTGTCGCTGCACTTCTTGGTGCCGCTGTACAGCTTCTTGATGCTGTCTATTGGCAACCTCTTGTTGCCTCTGGGCCTCCTCCTGATGGCTCTGAGTATCGCTTTGCTGAAATTAATTCAAACAATTATAATAATATCCCACATATGGCGTCTCCGGAAAGGGAGATGTCATCGCTCTGAATATGTAAGAAATCACTCCTTAGTGTCACAAATTATTAACGAAGACAAGCATTGAATTCAATTAACACTTTTATGCACTGGATCTACAGCATTGTAATCCATAAACGTTATTTTTAGAATTTAAAGAAACATGAGTGAAAATAGTCGTACTGAAGATTGATTGCGACGCTGTTCTAGAAAAATCGAGAGATGAAGGATGCCTCATTTAGATACATTTCACTCAGCCAACAAAAAATAATGATACACCTATTGTATAGTTGAACAATTTTTACAGTTTACTCGTTTGCAAGAAGCAAATAGCAGAGCTAGTGGCAAAAATATGTAAATAATACACTTTGTTTTAGCAACCTATCTTGCTAGATCGCTAGATAATGGAGGTAGAGATCTAATTCGAATGGAGAGACGTGGAGGATAGAAATGAGTGTTGCCAAAAGATATATAGCGGAAATTTCAAATCACCATTGGGATCCCTGTTGCACATTTATGTGAACAAATTACTGTTCACCAGTGAAGAAAAACGCAATATAATGGAATTATTAATAAATCGATGAAGACAGTGTGAAAATATAGAAATATTATTTGCACATGAATTCAAAGGGGTAACGGTAAATATTCATAATTATGAGTAGTATATAACGTAGTCAATTATTTGTTTCAAAGTTGTTTGGGTAACCTGACAGATGTACAGAACACGAACATTATTTTACTCTACCTCATTGGTAACACTGCGTTTGTCAATAGTTTTTATATTTGAAACAATTGATGCCAAAACGTTGTAAGCAGATGTAGAGAGATGTTCGGCTGCATTTAATATTGGATTCTTTCCGCACTGAAGAGTTCAAGGTTGGAACACAATTTTCTTCGAACATTCTATTTATCTCCCTTTGTATTATATCTGGACTAATTTTACTGGTAACTTTACTATTTCCAGCGTCTCTTCTTTTTTTCCTACATCGAATGGGATTGTTCACTACTTCCCATACGGTTGATTTCGGCACCTCCGTTAAAAACGACGTTTTCACTGCAGTATCTGTCATACGAAAACCACGATTCCACAAACATGCAGATACATTTTTCACTATGTCTTTGGAATGTGTCGATAAGTGATTTCGTCGTCTACTTCCATTGACTTCCATCTGGGCCTCCGAATTCGTTTTAGAAAACACAACCTATCTACCTCTAAGACCAGATTCAACTTTTTTTCTCAATCATGTGCGCATGCATTTGCTGTGTAGTTTTACTTTTTTCTATGTAACATGGTGTGTATTATTCGTTATCTGGTATCTGGAATTTTCTAATCGGTGAGGTATTTTTAAAGATATATCGGTTAATCCTGAATGATAAAACCTTCATTCTCAGTATGTTTATATGAATTACTGGTGAGAATATCGTATATTAAGACAACAGTCAAGAAATTTACGCCTTTTGGTAGATCTGTTATAAATCCGCATTCATTCACGAAGCCCTAAAGAAAATAATCGAGAGAATTTAGATCGGTGGGCCGCACTGGCCAAGAGATTCATCCCCAATTAATTTTTAATTTTTTCATAACAGTTAATGATTTAATACCATACTGGTGCTGAAAGCGATCGTCCCTTTCTATTCGTGGGTTTACCAATGCCCAATTTTGTAAATTGTGAATTCTCACCCGACCTTGAAATCTATTTAAAAAATTGAATCAGCTTTCCGGTCCTCCAATAATTCCTTTACAAAACATCACTTTGTGTCTTGTGGTACGAGAGCTTGCACAAGCTGGATATGGTGGTGGATTCATCTGGAGTTATCGCTGAATTAAAATTATTCTGACAAACCGATGCGACAAGGTCCTTTTTTGTTATCTGTTGTTTTTAGGTAGATTGGTACCAACCTATTCAAAGTCTAAATTGATGACTGTGAACATAGAGTGAATTTTATCAAAGGTAATTATTATTAGTTACTAGCTTCGCACAGGTAGTTGATATTAGATTGTGTGGTAGTTGGAACAAAATTATAAACTTCAAATAAGACCGACAGTCATCTTGAATTCGGACAGGTTGGAGCCTGGCTCCCACCCCTTTCGACTGGTGTTCGTCAGGAGGACAAACAGGTCAAGACTGGTCATGGGACCGTGGCATGAATGTCCTCAGACATCAGTACCGCCCTTCACGTGGACCCCTACCTAGCTGGGGTGTTTGGATGAAGATATTGTTCATCTTTTAACGGAGGACATGAGGGCCTCACTGGACAGAGTGTCTGGGCCTTCTATATCGGGAGGGGTCGTCTACAGCGTAATCTATAGCTTCCCTAACTAAAATTATAAGAGGTGAAAGGATCTTGCCCCACTCATACAAAAAAAGCTTCGAATAGGCTACAATAGTCCAAAACATTCCATGGCATTCGAGACAGTTCTGGAATGTTTCACAATGATATGGAATGGTCCGAGATGTTTTCGAACGTTCTCGAACATTCGCCCTTCAACGAAAACCGTCTTCTTCTTATTCTTGGATAGAGGATAGTGGTTCTACAATGATTTGGGGTGTTCCCAAATGTTCCACGCTATTTCCGAACAATTCAGAATGTCCCGGTTGTGGAATGCTCTTGAATACTTTCCATTGTTTAGGACTGTTCTAAATTTCCTAGATGGCGGATGGCGAAAATTCTAGTGCTCATCTTCAAGAGCACCCCTTTAAGGTAAAAATAATAACTTTTTTCATAGACAATGATGTGAGATATTCACGAAAGTTCCAGATTACTCTTATTACCTATCAATCCATATTTTCTAGAATGCTCCGGTAAGTTCTGGAATGTGGTGTAATGCTCTCGAACACTCTCGCATGTTCGAAACTGTTCTAAAACTTTCTATAGGGCGGAACTTCCATTCCTCATATCTTCAAAAGTACGACTTTCCAGGAACAAAAACCTTCTTCATGGATAAACTGATGTGACATAACAGAAAACTAATATAGTATCAATAAATTCACTGTTTCCTTTGTTCGTTCGTAATATCATAGTTGTCTTCAACTGCTGCAAATATTTTTATAACGTAATCTTTTCTTCCCGCTTATCATACATGTTTAATTATCAATTCGGTACATCTTAGGAAACACTTTATCTTACAGTACCTGAAAAATTCTCGAACTCCGGCACACCCAACTAAAGACCACCTGTCTCGATAACTTGACCTCCGGACAATTTCCACTCAAGCTTGTAATGAGAAATGGTCTGAGGTAACATAGGCGGACATTGAGAATCTTAATATTGTAGAGGCACAAAGATACATCAGACCGAATAATAATTTTGTATCAAAGATAACTTGTTACAGGAAATGAGTAAAAGTTCTTAAGAGATTTAAAAAATATTTATTAAATTGAAAAATTTGAATGCTTTCACTTTTCAAAAAATTGAATATCGAATTGACCATGCAAATGGTTTTAGAAAATTATATCGACTGTCTGCCTGTATATATGATACTTTCTCAATATTAAAATCGGCGTAAGTTATAGCTATGTATTTCCAAAAACACTTTGTAAGATTTTCACTAAACAGTTTTACAAAAACGTAACACATGTTTTGCTATAAAATAGCTTCTTCTGCCCTGTAAAGACACGCCTGAAGAGGCTATTGTAGAGCGAAACACGTGTTGCGTATTTGTATAACTGTTCAGTGAAAATCTCACAATAAAGTGTTTCTTGAATACCTTATAGATTTACCTCAAGTATCGGCCAATTCCATCGTATATCTCAAGATACCTATTATGTTGTATGTTTATGTTTTACATAAAAATAAAATGATTATGCACATCACACTATTTTTGATCAATTATGAATTGAAATCAAAACACAGATATTAGATCTCGCCGCCCAAGATTTAACCAACTAAGTACTTTGTTCGTATTGTTATCTTGTGCGAAACGTAAACAAATAGTTTTTGGAGTTGTGTTAGAAATGTTATCTCACTAAGGAACTGCACACCATTTATAAACTTTTTAATTATTAATTATCTCAAAAAATACGTCAATTAGAGAAAGAGTTTCAAAATAGTATTGGCTCATAGATTATAAGTATGACAAATAACAACATTCTTCAAGCAAGGAAAATCTGGCATTTCTGAAAACAGCGATACTTTCTATATTTTTCATCCGATTCACCTTCTTGCCTAATTCTCCTTAAAACAATTTTCTAATTTCCTAAATTCTGTGATTAAAGATCATAAATATCTTTTCATTGTTTATTCTAAGGGTTGTTAAAACATACCCAGAATAATATTTCATAGAGGGTTTTACTAAACATGAAAAGGTCAGCTGAACCTTTTGCAGGCAACTGAATACAATACGCAGGTACCAAATCATCAGTACAAGTTTGTGTCCCAAAATTTCAAAGAGGCGATTTACAACAGAAGAACAAACATTTCCCATCCATGGCCATATGCCATTATTGTTATGGTAACAAAGGAATTTTAGCTTCAGAAACTTTTGAATTACCTATCAACCAACTAAAATCTTGAGAATTCTATGATGAAGTAGTAAAGTTAATAAGAGTTTATTCCTATTACAAAATATCCTAAAAGTTGAAATGTTCATTATGAACTTTGATCATTATCGATAATGTCATTGCCAGACATTTGAACGGAATGATTTCGATATCTTAGAAACTGTTAATATTAGTACCTACCAAATTTTGGATGCAGCTGTCACTGATCGAGGCGGATTAAAATTCAACCTTAGAAATGATTCCGGACCTTCAGTTTCTTTGTTAATATTATCAACTTTTTCCTTTCAAATGGATCACCTCACGTATTTTCTGGAAACTTACCGAGTAAACATTAGATATAAAAGAAGGCGAGTCTCTTTGATTTAGTATGTTTTGGTATTTTTTAAGATGAAAATGTAGTAGATATCCAAGCAATTTCACATACTCCTGATAACATAGGCAAAATATCAATATTATTAATCTAGCAAACAATTTCATCACTTTCCAGTAATAGTGCCTTTCGATTGTGCTTTTCCCAGGCAAAATTCATACTTTTTAAAGTTTTCCATAAAAGTTTTCTGGATATCATTATCTATGTCTGTAATTTTTAATTTACTTTAATTATTAAGTTTAATAATCCTAAGATTTGCCTACGCCCATGGACGACAACGAAATTCAGGCAAATTTTATGACACTTAATGATTTATTACTCTACACTCTTTTGAAATAGACTATAGTGTTTTTCACTGATAACCACCTCTGTCAAAGTAGCAGAACAACTGGTTTTTTATATTTATTGTGAAAACATAATTTTAGGCCCATTTGTGCTCTATTCCAGAGTCGTTTTTCGGTTTTAATTTATCGGAGATATCGTGGGTTCTGCTAGCAAAAAGTTGAGCTAGGAAAATCACATAAAAAAGTTTTTTGAATCAAACAACGCCATAGTTTTAGGCTCCTAGTTCACTCTATTCGCGATTTCCCATGTGCCACTTTTTTTAAATTCATTGGATGACGGAACCAAATCCATATCCTAAGAATTTTAGACTCCATTTCCCACCTCTCTCCAATTAACTACTTGTTTATTTTCAAATCCATGGGGTCTTCTAGCTTTAAACATAAAGCTGACAGAACAGTATTTGGGTAACCACTTGGAAGTAAACATGGCAGAAGCAGAATTATTTTGTTAGAAACATTCTTAGAATGTGGGAAAGAAGAAAATATACTGTCTATTTACGCTTGATACTCTCCACTACCTGTTGTTTTATTTGAAAAATAAATGGGTGCTGCTGTGAAAAGCGGTAAATTTCTATTGTTAGTTAAATAAGTAATGTATATTAATATTTATGTAAATATTGTTTTCCGAAATGTTGAAGGTAGTTTGTTAATACAATTTTTTAAAGCTCTCTAATTGAACTTAATTAAATGTAATCACAAAAGTTTGAAACTGAATCGTGTAATTTATTGGAAAATTATTATTGTCAAAGAAAAGAAAAAAATACTTCCGTTTGAAAAACAACTCAAATCAACTATCACTGATCAACCTTAACCAAAAATCAATGAAATTATCAAGGTTGAATGCCATACAAAAATTCGTAATTGTTAAAAAAAATATTTCTCATTATCGTGAAGGTTGTCTAGGAGTGCTATCATTTGTGTTGACATCGTATAAAATCACATCCACAGAAGAATTATCTTGAGAAAATGCAATCTTGATTCATTTAGATTCAAAAATATCGGTGCAAATTCCATTATCATAAATCAAAATTGGCATGTATTGATAATATATCAATGTTTTTCACCATTTTGCGGTGTTAACCCGAGCTTTAGACAGTGACTGGGGGCAAAGCCCGCCCAAAGGGGGGGATGGGAGGAGCCCCCCCCCCGCCTTTTCCAACTGGGGAAAAAGGGAAATTTGTTTGACGTAATTGTTTGAAATGACAGTTTTTTATTCACGAACAGATTGAAATAAATCAGTTATCAAATGTTATGTGAAAATTACCACAATACATTAGTGAAAATTACCACAAATCGGTTGAGACGTTTTTCTAAAATATCTTCCATGTACAGATTGCGATCAGTCACACTTTTATTATCTATATATTTATAATCAGAAAAAATCAAGTAGGTACTTTCATTAGAAATATTTCTGTCGTGAATACAAGTAACAACTAAGACAGAAAAGCAAATATTTCATAATTAAGCAAACTGATGTTAACATTTTTAGGCAAGATAGGCCAAATTAGCGAGACACTTTTTGAAAAGTACAAAAGCAATGATTTCACAATTTGCCGGTATTTGGTTGTGGAAATTACGTTATTTCATATTGACAAGTTTTTGAGAAGCAGTCTTTGTAATTCCAGCGACATAATTTCGCCAAGACATATTGGTGTCCATTTTTAACCCTCAACAAACTTATCGAAGCAGAATACGGAATTGTCTATCCAGGCATTATTATATCCGGTTCCGATGGCGATGACTATTATTGACAAATTTTTTGATATTTTGCATGACTTTTTAATAAAATACAGCTAATGTTACTAGCTGAAACTGCAGCTTTCATATGTTAAAGAATTTAATAAATCGGTTGAGTAGTTTTCTCTCTATACATTTAAATTAGTTTATATTATTCACAAGTTAATTCGATAACTGAATGGTTAGAGATACATAGGTATTTGTTTGGTTAATAAGTCATAGCACCAAAATTAAATAAAAATCAATCTACAGACTGGAGAGGCTAAACAGCATAATGAATTTATTTCAAAATAAAATAGATAACACCATGGTCCCAAGAGAGTTTACAAGGGGGAGAGAAAATTAATGTTGAATCCTCGCTATATCGGAATTCCCATTGAACATGAACCCCTTGAGTTCAATAACCACTGTGAAGGCGAATTGTGCTGTTTATATTTTCCAAAAAGCCCGTTTGGTTTCCCTCTATTTTCTAGATGAAAATGAGATTTAAAAACAAAGAGGCCCCTCTCGTGGACCGTGCAAGAACAAAAGACAGTTTACAGACAACTTTAAAAGTGAAACCTCTTCTCTATTGATCGGAATTTTTATATAGTAGTATCCAACAATAAGCCTTTTTCCTGAAGTACGAAAAATCACTCACTAGCAACGCTAGTAGTTCGGTAGGGACAAACACTGCCTAATCCTTATATAAACATATGGGAAAGTACAATTAAAAAAGAATGTTTTTAACAGAAGATATTCCTGGAGCAAAACTAAAATTTGCAACTGTAAAGGATAACAATGTTGTAACATTAAAACGTTGGCTTGCATGCCGTAATTTAAAAGTAACTGGAAAAAAGTGAATTAATAGACAGGTTAGTGTACATACTCTAGTAAAAGAGTAGCTGTAGATTCAAACTGTAATAAAATAAATTTAAAATAATAATGAATTTCAGATTTATTTCCGAGTGAAATATGAATCAAATATAGATGGTAATGAAATAAATTTAATTAAATATAATAAATGAATATAATTTAATAAACGATTGAGGTTATATCTCATTCTAATCAATGGTAATCACTACGAAAATTTTACTATTCCTTTCATGTTTAGAGCATACATATGAATATTTATTTATTTTTTGTACTGTTAAATCCACTCTCCTCGAAGCATGTATCAATTTCTTACATCTAACCTCATTGACACGAGGTTTTATAAATGGTATAAAAAACACGTTTTCTTCCGGATATCGATTATCCGACGTACAATTCGCAAAATAGCAACGCTTTGTTGGAATTATACTAGCTCAAAATATTTTGTTATATCAGATTTATATTTTTAAATAATAAATTATTATTACGTAAATAACACTGTTTTACATGTGAATAGTTTATGTTTGTCCCTACTACTAGTGCTGCCTCTCGTGACACGTTCGCTGTACTATTCTCAGGAAAAAGGCTCATTACCAGCCTGCTTTATTAGTTAGCATTATTTCACCTTATAAAAGAGTATGCATTTCATGTACGGGCGGCTACTCTATTGGCTATTATATTATATCAATTAAATTAAAGCACTGTGTCCATTTTTTCATCACCTTTAATAATATTTACGCAGTTGTGGACGAAACGTCAGGCATAACCTGCCAGACTTACAGACAAAAAAAACTAGGAAAATTGATTACATAATATTGTGATTTAATGTTGGTGTTATATTAGATATCGAGAGAAAGTTTATATGTCAAAAACAGGACTAAATATAAAACAGTTTCTTGATATATGACGGTCTTTGAAGGTTCGCTTCTACAGCTTTAAAGAAATCATCAGTACTTCTCATATACGAAGATCAATAAATTCACAAGGTCTTTCAACAACCTCAGTGTGAGGTTTCTTGAGATAACGCCAATATCATTTCCTAGGCGTTAATGACTCTTCGGTTCATTTATCACAGCAAGTACTTTATAATCATTTTTGGGTCTTATGATTGCTTTTATCCTTTTGAAATTGAGACTTGATTTGGCAATTTAACCGGTTTAACCTGAACATTTTTAATAACATTCAAAAATATTCCAGCTGCCCGAGGTTGTTAATAAATGTTATATTATATATTTGATGAGCCAGAAGATTAATCGGACACAGGGCATTCTGAACTTTGTTGATCCTAGAAGTTACTAGATCTCGAGGCACAGGACACATTCAAATAAGAGTAGTTGAAAATTGATAATATAAGTGTTTCGCATAGTTGATCTTCAAATGTCATATATTCTGAGAATAAGCGTAATAACATTACTAATGAATCTATTGTCAACCCATTATTCAGAAATATTGAGATATTCCTAAATTATGTACTAGGTAGCAGATTCAGCTCAAATAATGTCATTATTTTCAATGACACGTCGTTTTCGATTACCGAGAAAGATTTGGTAACAATTCGTTGTAACAGTTTTGTACATAGCATAGCACGGTTAATAGTATCAAATTCTTCAAGTCACTGCAAAAGTGCAACTTCATCCTTGTCACCTGCATATATACCTAACGTAATATTAGAAGAAAGAGCACTTGCTTTTTTGAGCAGAAGATGTTCTTAACAAAACTAGAGATGATACATCCGTCAAATATAGTGAATTTTATACTTCAGAGTGTATTCACATTGAAGATCTGAAATAGTGGAGACGGCATTCTGTAATTTGAAACTCAAATACCGGTCGCCGTGAGCCTGAGGCTAGGGTCGAAATCAGGTAGGAGGATTAAGAGATATACGTTGGTCCAGCTTACCGGGGGAGGGGAAGCTTGCACAGGTGGCATTTGTTGCTGTTGGGACTGCAAGCTGTGCATGTTGTTCTGCAAATTCTGGAGCGTGCTCTGCATATTGTCCATGGTGGAAGGAGGGTACCACCACTGAGCGGCGGGTGCAGAGGGCGGATTTCCACCTGCCAAACTATAATCGTACCCGCGAACACCAGCCTGAGAAGAAGACGTCGTCGTCGCCGGATTTTGAAAACTACTTGCCATCTTATAGCTGAACAGCTGCTGGGTGTTCGAAGCCGAACTGTTGGCAGCCTCTATTTGCTGCTGCTGTTGCTGAATCTGTTGTTGGATGAGATGCTGATGATGTTGCAAACTCTGCTGATCCGTCGCGACCGTTCCCGGCCACCATAAAGCAGCATCGTCTCGTCCACCCCAAGCTCGATTCTCGGACATGATGGAACTAGGAGGGGCGATTCCTGAGTTGCCCGCGCACTACCCCTCACAAACAATTAGAAAACCCGAGAGAATAAAAAACATTTCACCAACTTTCACTGCGAGAGATCACCCCGAAAGACGAAGAAAACAACTGAAATAACGACCGCTACCGTTCAAAAAATTCCACTGTTGACGCGGCAACCGCTCAAATAAATCTGGCAACGCGGCCCAAGCGAAAGGCCGGTGAGGCTGAACGAGGGGACGCCAATACATATACGCGCTGGTAGCGCCCTCACACGCAGCGGAGCCGGTTCGAATCGAATATTACCTCTCACCCCTCCTAAACGCGAAGCAAGGGCGGTCAATAAGAAGATGAACCGAAAAACCTCCCGGGCCCCAGCCAGCGGAGTAGGGCTCGCGCCGACGTTGCCAAATAGTTCATAATTTCACGAGGTAACGGCTGGGCAAATTTCCTTTATCCAACATATATTTTATTTATCGTGTACATGAATTACATTCAATATATTTTTCTCATAATGAACGGTTTTTTCTTGCAATTTAATAAGACACGACACGAGTCTAAAAAATAAGTTTCTCCAACTAAGTTGACAAATCCTCATTTTTCAGGAATATTGTTTGGTGAATATAATAAATTCTGATTTCCATTTTCTAAAAAAGTGTTGATACATTTGAAATATGAGAAAAATGCCACTATATAAGTTGAATGTCAATAATATACATAGTAAAATAAAAATGAAAAAATGGCGAAAAAAGTAGAATATTACAACTTCGTGAGTTTTAACCACTGAAACGTTGTGAACTAGCTTGGTTTATATTCTCTTTTCTTTTTACTAATTTTTCAGTTGAATTTCATTTTACTGCATAGTTTACTCATTGCTACTAAAGTTTTTCTCCTTTATTAATAATAAAAATTCATTTCACGTCGCCAAAATTGTTTCTTTTTTGTCAAATTAACATTCTAGCACTTTTAGATTCCATATAAACTACTAACTTTTTTTCACATTTCTTTGTATTGTTTTCATATTTTTTAAACAAATTCATTTCAAGATTTCAGTTCTAGTATTTTTATCATTTCCTTGATTTATATTTCCTTCAACACTTTTTTAGAAAATCATAGGCCCAACCTGTAGCACTACAAAAATATTTTCGAGTACATTCTAACAAACATCGTTTATGTGTTCTGGAAAGGAAATTATTCTGTATGTTTGGAAATGACTAAGTGAGATTACTTATGATGCTCTGTTTGGAACCTTTGGTGTAGTAATGAATATTACTGGAGTTTTTTCCCAACACCAAATCGTTATTTTTAACACCTCGACACGTGTTTCGATCACCAAGTGATCATCTTCAAAGAGGAAGATTAAAACTAAGGACTATGAGCCATTATTTTTATTCATAATGAATAAAAACACTTATGTTTCTATACGGATTGAGCGACACTGATGTGATTTTCTGTTCTACTTCTGACAACACTGGCTTACACACGAGTTCGGTCTCTACCCTGCCTCTCTCCTCTCTCTAATTAAAGTTGCTTCATTAATAATTCTGGGATGATTTCATAATGTAAGCATTCCGCATTCCTATTAGTTGGCAAAGAAAAATATTCATGAAATCTAAAATGTATGAAAAGATACTTGACCATTGTCATGTTAGACAGATGCCTGTTCTTAGAGATGACCAATATTACAGTACTGAGAAAGAAAGTAAAATCTTGCATCTCTTATATTTTACTAGCCATCAGACAAAAAATATGTCCGGTTATATAACGCTCACCTCTCACATGAAATGATTCAACCTCTTTATTTTCATCATTCTCTTTCTCGAAAGAAGTGTGTAATCCAATCAGTTGCTATCGGCAACTGGCCTGAGGTGGAACATATTTGAAAACTCAGATTTATGTCCGAACCTCACGTTTCCCAGGAAAGTTTCGTATTGCCTTTTGACGTGAAATCAGTTTTATGACACAAGAGTTTGGATTTTACGTGAACCAACTTAATACGCACTTTTGGATAAAATTTGCTACAATTTGGTCCTACAACAGGATTTTTATGACCATCCCATTCTGAAATACAACCATTCAAAAATTGACCATTTCTTACGAAAAATGAAAAAATTAACATTAACTAAATATTGCCTAATCCCCACATCCTTATAGGAAAAGTATCATTATGAGCTGGTAGAGAATAGTGTCAAATTCAAATTAAATTTTGACGAGTAACCAAGAGCCTCATGGTTCGGTGAAAAATGTCAGTTCTACCGGTCTACATAGCTTTTCAGAATCAGAAACAAAACCACTGTTCAAGAACTAAATATTGCCTAATCCCCACATCCTTGTAGGAAAATTATTATTATGAACTGTTAGAGAATAGCGTCAACTTCAAATTAAATCTTAACGAGTAACAACGAGCCACATGGTTCGGTGAAAAATGTCAGTTCTACCGGTCTACAAACTTTTCAGAATCAGAACAAAAACACTGTTACAGGGGCACATTCTGTGACAGAAAATTAAAAGCTCACAAATGAAAGATAGCCGTGATAAATATGTCCAAGCTATTTCGTAAAAAGAGAGAAAGCAAGAATAAAATTTCTTGTTTCTCGTTAAGCTACTATTAGACTTTTACTGATAAGATTGGAATCGGTTGAATTTTGTACTAGGCCTCAATTTTATCCTGAAAAGTTCGAAATGCATAACATTTGGATGGGTGGAAGAACACCAACTATTGCTTTTTTCGAATTAGATATTGATCCTTCTGGATCCTACTATCACTACCAGGACTGAACATTTTTTTGTTCCAAAATGAAAAGTTTATGTCACATGGATGAATTCTTATAAAATGTCTTTAATTTTTCAAATGAAGAAATACATGTAAAGTGAGTTCGAATTATATCAAGGAGGTTACGTACAGCGCCATCTGCCCGCGAATAGATCAAGCAATAATGTCGATAACTCTGTCAAATACAGACTCTGACCTTGAGAGTTACAAAGAAACAAACAAACATAACATACATACATACATGCATACATACATACAGATGAAGCTAATAAAAGCGTGATAAAAACGACCCATTTTTGCATTTCTTTCATAACAAATGTAATTGTTTCGATTTATGTACCGTACACTGTATATAAAATATGTACAAAAATATACAAATGAGTTGCCTTACTAGGTAGAAATAGAAATACCTATCTAAGGTTCCGTGTAGACGATTTAGTTTAGAGATTTGAAGTAGGACAACATTTTCTGCTTGATAAAAGAAACGGTTTGATGAAAATAATAATATGGTATCATGCTCATTGAGGTTCGATAAAAAGTGACTACCTCTCATGAGAAGAGAAGTTGAATGATCTTTTACATATGTAAAACCTCATTATCCAGTGTACTGTGTTTGCAAAAAACGATCATCCAATCCTGGAAGGCGGTTGTATCGATCAACGTTATCCAAAGGGAGTATATTTTCATTCAGAATTTATATTCAATGAATGGCTTGGCATCAATTTTTGATTCAATGGAGATAGTAACCAAAAAACAAAAGCAATATAATTTTTTAAAGTATCGAACAAAGTTATAATGAAAAATATTTTTGAATGTAATTTTTAGCGCATGTACAGAATTTCAGCTGCACAAGCTAATTTTGATTTTTCGACCAATTTTTGTAAATTGTATCAATGTTTCAAAACAAGGCTGAAGGCAAAACCTACATGAAAAACTTTCTAGTTTTTGCAATGCTTCATTCTGTTGATAATTCAATTACGTGCGACCTTATGAGGGTCATTTTTGAAAAGACAGTTTAAATATACATGGATTGTTAAAAAATTAGGTGAATGTTCAAATTTCGCGGGTTACGTAAATTCGATTAGCGATTTTTCAATTTTTTTACATTGATATACTCGTCTTGAACATTTGTTCAAAGTTTCAGCTGTTTAGAATGTTCAGTTTGTCGGTGAGAGGCATAAAAGTTAAAGAGTGTTATGCGTATTCTGCAATTTTGTGCCATCGAAAAAAAAAATGAATAATTTGCATCAAATTTTGTGTAAAAAACGGAATCAAGTGCTCAAAAACACTTGAAATGTTGACAGTGGCATACGGTGATTGTACTCAGTCAGAAAAATGTTTACAAGCGGCACCTGCTCACTCGCCATTGCTTGGTCGTAATTTTTTATCCAAAAACAACACCGTAATCATGCCTCAGCCACCGTATTCACCAGACTTGCCTCCTGGGACTTTTTAATGTTTCTGTTCAAAAAATATGTTTTTCCGTTAATCAGCTGTCACCCCCATACGAACGGCAACTCTCAGAAGTTGAGAAACTTGTGCAAGGACTGAAGAGGTCTTACCTTTTAACGTGTGATTCCTAACACGTTTGATTGAAGACACATGAAAGGACGGCGTTTTGTAACGATTAAGAGATAAAAACCGAATCGCTCAAGAGCACATCAAAAAGTGCATATCAGAACTGTTTAAAGATTAAAAAAACCCTGGCATGAATGTATTATATCTGAGGGGGACTACTTTGAGAGGAACAAAAAAGATATTGATGAATAAATATTAGAATAGTACAGAGTAGTACTCTGTGTTCAAAAGTAATGCACATCACAATTGATAATAATAATGGATACTACTGACACATTGATTAAACAATACACAGTGTCTAAATTAAATTCTACATTAAGAATGTTGGCGCATTTTCAGAATCGACAAATTCTGTAAAATCTACCTTACATTTTCAAATAATTCAAGGATGTAGAAACCGTTTCTTTTATCAAGTGGTAACATTGCTATATTCTAAACCGTAACAGATACGAAGACGATTAAATGGAAAAAAATGTAACTGTCATCGGGAACAATACAATGGTCGAAGAAAATTTACGGGGACTCTCGCCCTTCTCGAATTATACGGGGAAAACAAAAAATGCTGATTTTGTTTTTTTTTCAAATGATATTATGCTATATCTGTTTTCACATTATATTGGTTTAATTTTTTCTATAAGTTCAAGATAAAACAAATTGTTTTTCTGTTTGATTGTTACACTGATGATGGTGGTTATTTCAAATGAAACGCTATAAAAATATCAAATGTGATATACCCTTGGATTGTGAATGTATCGCTTTATCAATATCTGTAATAAAAAAGA